AGCGAACACCTAAATACCCACTTCCTCGACGGCGAACACGTAGACACTCATTTCCTCGACGGCGAACACCTAGACACCAACTTCCTCGACGGCGAACATGTAGACACCAACTTTCTTGACGGCGAACATGTAGACACCCATTTCTTCGACGGCGAACACTTAGACACCCATTTCCTCGATGCGAACACCTAGATACCCATTTCCTCAACAGCGAACACCTAGATACCCACTTCCTCGACGGCGAACATGTAGACACTCATTTCCTCGACGGCGAACACCTAGACACCAACTTCCTCGACGGCGAACATGTAGACACCCACTTCTTCGACGGCGAATACCTAGACACCCACTTCCTCGACGGCGATACCTAGACAGTTCCTCGACAACAATCTCGATCCATCCAATCTCCTTTTGTTAAATTACCTCTGTAGTCTGCAGAATGTATGTACAATCCAAAAATGTGAATTTATTTTATCTCGATATCTCGTCATTTTAAACTGCGCGCGCGTCACAATCATAGTTATATGGCTCACGTTAGATAGATAGAGTGAGATGTAGAGTGAGATACATAAAGCTAAAAGCCCTCTATTATCGGAAAAACGAGACGGACATTTTGAGCTGGTCGACGACAATAATAACGACGTATCTGAATGTGAATGTTACAGATCCGGACTTTGCATCGCAGTATCTCCGCTTGTAGGGCACGTAGAGAAAAAATAAAAATACGTATATTATCGGAGTGAAAGCTATCAATTAAGCTATACATAAAGATCAATCCGTTCAGTCGTTATTGAGATCCGATAATCTCGGTCCCCCGCAACTCGTTGTCTCGCGTAAAGGAGGCACGGCAGTGTCTCTGCGCGCGGCTTAGCGCCGAGACACTACCAGTGTCTCCAGATATCCATATATGATCCATATTGATTTTCTATCTGGTTTGCGGAGGGTTAATATTAAACCAATAGAGAAAGAGATCGAATTTTTCTTTTTTTAAATTTTTTTAAATTTTCCTCGTAGGCTATTATATGCGGTTTATGACTTTATAATATTATAAATTTGTCTTAAAGATGAAATTGAGTCTCGTTTCGATTTGTCCAATGGATAAACAGAACAATTAAAAGAAGAGAGATGGATATGTTTGAACAGTCATGTAAATCGCAACTTTATATTATGCTCTATCTATTTATAAACTTCATAATATAAAATCGTCGATCATATATAATGTTATATTATACTTATATAAAATTATATACCATATATAAATTATGCAAAATGTTTCTAATTAATTTTTGTGTTTCCTTCTTTTATTTATTTCTTTTTTCTATTTTTTAATAATGTAATCTGTTTTTTTAAGAAGATAAACAGAAGGAGAAGACGATAAATTAAAAATATAGCAAGATTAGAAATAAAAAAAAAATGAGACAAGTATTAGTCGTTACCCAGCAAACAATTTGACGGTATTTGTCGTCATTTTGACGTCGAAATGACATCTTTAACGTCAGCTTGTTTGCTCGATACTTCCGATATGTCTGCATGAAAAAATGAAGGCGTTTATAAATGAGGAAATTAGGTTTTGGCCCTCGTCCGACAAATAAGTAAAAAAAAATTGGAACGAAGATAAATAATAAAATTAAAACGAAAAAAGAGATACTTGATAATTTAAGAAATCGAGTGTTGATTACATCATGTGCGTTTTGATAAAAAATATTCCCAAATCACGCAGTTATTTCGCGGTCGCAAAGGAAGCGCATAATTACGTACGATTTCATGAAGTGGCCTTTATAATGTCGAATCAAGTTCAACGGTAGGATAAAGATACACGCATTGTTGTCCTTGATCCATATATCCGCGTCCGTACGCTATGCGTATATACATATATAATACGCCTATGATACGACCATGGGATTCGTATTAGATAACCGAGTGATAGAAATATGACGATATAATGGGCATTCTAATGCGCAACTGGTCTTGTGAACAAGATAGATAGGAGTATCTTTTTATGAGAACGAGCACGATGTACAAAGTGTCGATTATCGAAGAAATGTTTGCGTGACATGAACGTAACGTAATATGCACATTAGTTAAGAGGAAATTGTTGATAAGTATCCCATACACTTGTATAGCATTTGTATATAGGATATCCGAGCTAATTCGCATTTTTATTATAATATAAAATGACTAGAAATTTTTCGACATGATCTCAATTGCTAATTTTCTTTCTCTGAGAAATTTCATAAATTTGAGAATTAGAATAAAACTACGAAAGATATTTAACATAGAATTATATATATATATATATATATATAGAACAGGCCTATCCAATTTAGCTCTGGAGCCAAAACGCAAAGCTATCGACGTAAAAAAATTCAATGTAAGATTTTAGGAACTGTAACATGTTGATAAGCGTCACTTAGATGTGTATCAACACTTTACAGTCCCCGAAATCTCATCCACATTGAATTTTTTTGTATCGATAGCTTTGCGTTTTGATTCCAGAGCTCAAATTGGACAAGCTTGATATAGAATATATATGATTTTATATAATACATAGGCGCCGATTATGGGGGGCAGACCACTTTTTGCCCCCTCCAATAATTTTATGGGAGGGGGAATGCCCTCTCAATAATTTTTATCTTTTGGTTTTTTAACAAAAGTTTTAACAATTGCAAGTAATTTCTGCGATCAAAATTGTGAGAAAGCATCGGCCACATGACATACGTTATACATATCGTTGACACAGCGAATTAAAAGTGGTGACGCTGGCATGTCGTCTGCTGTTCTAGGGTACCTTCCAAGAGACGGTGTGATGATACGGTGTGATGACACAGTGTATCATTACATTCTTGTTGTTCGCCAATGTTAAACAAGGATGAGGTGATTATTGTGTTGTACTGATTGTGAGTCGCTTGTTGAGGTATGTTTTTATTCCCATTAGAATGTTCCTCAGGTATCATCTTTATATATTTAACGTTTGTTAAACAACAAGGATGACATAATATCTGGGGAGCACCCAGGTAGGAATCCGAACATGCCCCTGGAAGGAACCCCTAGTGTCCCTGCACATACACGTACCAGAGAGAAACCTGAGAGAGGACATGAGGCCCTTTTTTCTGTAACCGCAAAATACTTTGTGCACTACAGTCTTCTGAAGAAGTGGATATCAACTACACAACATTATCCATCTTTTTGCGATGCTCTTGATGGAAATAAATCGCTAAAATCGTTAAAATCTTCATTAATTTGATAGATTTTAGTTATTTCAGATTTATTTCTATTAGTAGCACCGTAAAAAAGTGAATATTGTTATGTTCCCCCCAATATTTCTCGATGCCCCCCCCCCCCAATATTTTTTCCCCCCCAATATTTTTAATATATATTAATATATATATACATACATTGCTCAAAAAAATTATGGCATAGAAAAATTGTGGGCAAAAATTTGCCAACTTTGACTAATGATAACTTTGCGAAAAATTATCGTAGGATAATGTTTTTTTTTTTAATTAAAGCTTGAAATCTCTATTTTAAGATGCTATGGCTAGATTTTAAGTTTGATGCACACTTGCCATTGTAACTAAAAAATATGAGGGTATATTTGTCATATTGAAAATTGCAAAGTTTTAAGTTTGACGGAATGCACTTTGTAAACTTTTTTTGGGGAATGCCGTTTGCAACAGCATAAAGTTCGAATTTTTCTCTTTAATTAAAAAAAAAAAAAAAAAAAAAAA